ATTAATGTTATTTAATCTAAAATTAAAGTAAAAGTACTAAAATATATCAAAGTAAAATACTGTGTTATGAAGTCTTAAATCTAAATAATGGTGGAGCGTATTGTGCAGATGGTAGCACAAACTGGGCAACTTGGGAGGATATTTTCAGATATTTCTTTTAAATAATGCGTACTTTGGGAATTTACGACCTAATTTGTGAATTCATGGTACATTTAGTGGTGCATTTACACAGACTCTTTCCAGAGGATATTAAATGTTTAAAGTTTTTAAAAAAATATTGGCATGAACTATGCAGTGGTAGTTATGTGGATCCCCTGGTTTAGAATTCTGATACCAAACAGCAGGCCTTTCCTGTATGCCTAATAAATGAACCTCAGAAAGCAAGGGCATTTCTGAGATGACATGTCCTGTTGATCTTGATGTGCAGATATGTTCCTACCAAGGTAGACAGTCCCTAAACAGTAAGATCCAAGGATATTTTGGGCTTTAAAGGTGACCATCAATGTCTTAAATTGTGCCCCCCCACCATGTACACAAAAGGTCAACCAAGGCAAGTCTTTCAGTATACAGATAGTCTTCTTTAGCTATCACAGTTGGGACCGGCAACTCGGTTGTTAAGCAAAGTGGTCACTTAGCGAAACGACAGTGCTTATGATCTTACTTCAGCTTTCCTTTGCTTTACAGACCTGAGAGGATGTAAATGCGAGGACTGGTCACAAAGTTATTTTTTTCATCACTCTCATAACTCTGAACAGTCGCTAAATGAGGACTACTTGTAGGCATATTATACCCCTAGAATTGTAACTATTTAGCAGCCTAGCTGCAACATTTTATTCTGTTTCGGAGCTTTCAAATACTGTTCTAAGATAATCCTGAGAATAACATATTCCAGTGATCTAACTAGGATGCAATCAAGATATGAATAAGATATGGTTCAGGAAAAGCATAACATTGCATTCCTTAACTGCCATCACCATCTGGATATCCAAAGGAAGATAGAGTTAAGGAACATTCCGAGACTAAGCATTTACTAATCCATGTGGAGTACAACCTCATCCAGAACAGGTTGAACCCCCATCCCAGCGCTTTGTTTCTTCTTACTGACAGTACAGCACCTTTTCAATGTAATTTCATGTTCACCATCATCCAGCCATTATCAAATTTAGGCAGCGTTTCTATGTACTGATTGCTTGGGCATTGGGAGCAAGAAGAGGTTGATAGCAGCTTAAGTATAGTCCCCCAGAATTGTGTGAACATAATCCAATAGGAAACAGCAGAATATCTAAGAAACATTGCCTCCAAGGCCTAATACTTCCAGCTGCCCAGAAGGATTCCATCATCAATTAGATCAAAAGTTATCAAAAAGTCCAAGATAATAATTATTAGGGTTGTGCTCCTGCTATTCAGTTCTCAATGTAGATCATCCAAAAAAAGGGAGACCAAAGCAGTATCAGTTACAAATACTTGCAGAAAGTATTTCAAATGCTTGCTGTAAAGGGTTCAATGTAATCGGTAACTTCCAAATATATCTGGAGTTGCAAGGCTACTACTCACTCAGTGATATTAATCAGAAATCATACATTTGAGGCCATTTCATTGCTCTTCCAGATAAAGAAAAAGTTTGTTTAATAATAGTTTATCTGTTTCCTTTAAGCAGGCAGGGACTCAACACTGTCCTGCAGGAAAGCATCAATTAATCACCTCCCTTACTAATCCTCCTCTATTTTAATAACTTTTTTAGATCACCTCAGAGAAGGAAAAATCTGGTAAACAAGTTATGGAGTGGTGAATACTACCAGCTCTTTGGAAATAGTCTCAAAGACACACATGAATATGATTGTATTGGTCTAAGTGAACTAGTTTTTAAAGCATTTACAAAACTGAACTTTGCAGTGGAAGTTAATGTCAGCTAAAAAACCAGTTAAAACAATGGGATTTTCTTTATTTTAGCTTGGCGAAAGTGGTTATTGTACAGGCCATGAACCAGATTCAATAGAATTTAGTACTCTTGGAGGATGGGTAGCTACCCGAGCATCAGGCATGAAGAAAAATATTTATGGAAATATTGAAGATCTGGTAAATATTTTCTATAATTCTTCTTATTCTTTCTATCAGTAAGTAATCTATTCTGCCTTTATATATTTATCTTTTTGTCACTGACAAATATTGGCTGATGTGCAGGAAAAGTTATTAAAATAATTTGAAGGATGTAACGGTTGACAGAAGCGTTGGATTTATTTAACACGTATGAAAAGAAAACAGTGTATATACTCATCTGCTTTTTTGTGTTTTGGTGGTTTGGAGAGAAAGAGTTAAGGAGGCACCACAAAGTTTTTACTAGATAATATTCTTTAGTGTATTACAATGTTCTGTTGTGTCAATTTTTTATTTTGTTGTGTTTTTATCTATGTTGTGTTGTGTTTTTATCTATGATGGCAAAATGGGCTGTTGTTTAGCTTTTCCTGGGTATTTAATATGCATGCATATTTTATACACTCTCATCTATATGTAGTATTAAGCAGACTCCCTCTTTTATACAGGTGGTTCATATAAAAATGGTAACACCCAGAGGCGTAATACAAAAAAGCTGTCAAGGACCACGCATGTCAACAGGACCTGACATTCATCATTTCATTTTGGGATCTGAAGGTATAATTTTTAAAAACTTGCAAGACTTTGATGCTTTTCAAGCATATTTCTATAACACAATATTTAACTAATACTTCTGACTTAAGGAACAGGAATTTTACCAACTGTGCAACCCTGGGCATTTGCAAGGTTTTTCATCAAAATGTGGAATGCAGCAATGCACTGTCACACTACAAGCTCTGCTCTTTTTGTGTATGTGTGCACATATAAAAGAGAACAGGGCTTGTGTCACAACAGGGCAATGTTGCTTTGGTCATTCTGCTCCCCCCACCCCCTTACCGCCTGCATATGCCACTGTATGCATCTAACTCATATAGTTCCACACAAAATAGCATAGGTCTGTTTTGTGAGCCTAACAGCTGATATTTAGGAAGGAGCTAGTATGTTTCCTTGAGGAATTATTTCACTCAATAGTGAAAAATAATAACAAAAAAATGGGATCCTGGCATGCTGCAAGGTGCCAGCTTCCAATGCTGTCTTTATATTTGAAGCATTACATGAGCCCAAGCAGCAGTCTAAAGCAATTTAAATGGTGGATGGCTGCATTCCTGTGCTTCATTTGGTAGGGAACATCTTGAGAAGAGGCTAGAGGTATATGGCAAGGATCATCTTCACCAATTTTTATTCCTAGCAAATGGTGTGGGTTTTTTATTGACTGTCATACCATGGCTAGCACATTTTGGATGAGCAACTCCTCCCCATGTGGCAGCCATTTAGTTATTTAATCATAGTGTTGGAAGGGCCATTTAAGTCTTGCATCCAACCTTCTACCTGATATAGGAATCCAGATTAAAGAATTTTAGACAGAGAGCTGCCTAACTTCTACTTGAACAGATCTAATAAAGTCAGGTCTACTACCTCTTTTGGTAACTGGTTCCATAATCAGTCTCCTCTTATTGTTAAGTTTGCTAACTTTAAAACAGCATTATCCTTCCTACAATTTAATTCCATTAGTTCATGTCCTGCACACTGGAACAAAACAGATTTGGTCCTCCTTCTGTATGATATCCTTTTAGGTATTGAAGAGTGATATAACATCCCCGCCCCACCCCTCCATCTCACCAATCGTCATTTCTCAAGGGTAAAGTTATTCACTAAGGAGATAAATCGAATGCATAAGTATAGGATGGGAAATATTGGCTTGGAAAAGAAATGCCCAGGTCTTTCAAACTCTGTTCATAGGACTTAGTTTCTAATCAATAGATCAGCTTCATTGCCCTTCTCTGAATTTGTTTCAATTTCTCTGAATCCTTCTTATAGTATGTTGCCCAGAATTAGGCACAATACTGAGGTTGAGTCTGGATAAAGCAAAATAAAGCAGATGACGTATTCCTGTGATTTGGAAATTATACATTTACTGATGTAGCATACAATGAATTTGCCTTTTTTGCAGTTATGTCACACAATTGTTGGCTACTCACAAGTACTGTTGCAAGATCTTTTTCACAAGTACCATTTCCAAGCCAGATATTCCCCATCCTATACTTAGGCATTTGAATTTTCTTTCCTAAATGAATAACTTTAGACTTGACTCTGTTAAGTTTCATTCTGTTACTTTCAGCCTGTTTCTCTGTCTTATCAAGATCATGTTGAATTTTATTACTATTTTCTATGGTAGTAGTTACTCCTTTAGCATGATTAGCATTCTCTCCATCTCTTTATCCAAATCATGAATAAAAATATTGAAGGGAACCCAGATCTGATCCCTCTAGATACTTTTTTCCAATTTGATGAGGCACCATTGATGTGGTTTCTCTGAATATAATTTGGAAGCCTCCTACATCTCCACCTGTCATCCCTAGACAGTCTCTGTTACCCCACCTAGCCCACTTAGATAGCTTTCTAATCAATATGTCATGAGGTCCATTGTTAAATACTTTGCTGAATCCACGATGTATTATGTCTACAACTTTCCCACAACCTATTAAGGAAATTATTTAATCAAAAATTGAAATAAGACTAGCCTGATTATTTGTTCTTCATGCTGATTTGTGGCAAATACTGCATTGTTTTCAAAGTGCTTACAGAGCGATCTCCTTGTGATCCTTTCTAGAATTTTTCCAAACATTAATGTGAGACTAACAGGTCTGTAGTTAGATGGATCTTCCTTTTTTCCTACAATGGAGCCAGTATATCTAAAAGTTGGTATTTCCCTCCCACTTTCCCTTAGAATTTCTTCCTGAGTCTACTTCCTATGAAAGGAGATAGCTTCTTTTCCAATTCTGGCTCTACCTTGCTCTAGGGAAGGTAGCTCTGCTAGCCAACCTCATGACCCTGACCATTCAAATTACCAGATTTTTGTTTTGTTTTGTTTTTCCTTGTTTTCCTTGTCTTATAGCCTACTACAATTTCCATGGCTAGCAAGCTCACAGAAAGCAATTTGCTAACTGTGGACACATTGGAGAAGTAAGAGGTTTGGCCTCCACAGGAGCTTTAACCTGCCCTCTCTTCCTATCATATATTTGTCTTTATATCAGATCCATTCAGTGGAAACAAGGGCATATACAGTGTCTTAATAAGACAGATATTAAAAGGAAGTTCTAATCACTGACAGAAAATATAAAGGAAATGGCAGCAGAACATCAACTGAATCTACTAATTTTTTTTTTGTCACTATGGAACATGAAGCAAAACCTTTGACCAGGAAGAATACAGAACACCCAGAGGAAGCAGAGATCTCATAATATTTCCCCATGTGCAGAAAAGGAGACATAAATATCACCTCCTTTATGGAGGGGAGGCTAACAAAATTTACCCAGTTTTGAATCCACCTAACATTAGATACATCCATACTAAGAATTATCACAAGATCACACCACAGAATTCAACACCGCCCCCCTGATCCATTTTATAATCCTGTCTTAAAAATCATGCAAGCTGATTGGATACCAGCTAATTCTGGAAACCATAAATCCCACAATGCAAATGGTTCTCTGGTTCATATTCTATATTCTTTATCATTGCCAAGAAAACAAAGAGTGGTGTGAAATCTTGGACACTGAAACAGGTGAATTGGCACATCAGGCATCACAAATTCAGGATGAAAAGCCTGAGATCTGTAAGGAAATTCTTCTAGAAAAAAGACACCCTGGCCTCACTGGATGGCGATGGTGACTGTCATAGCCCACTTCAGATCCCAGGATACATGTGTACTCTGCACGGGCAATCTACTAATTCAATTCCTATTGCTCAAATAAAAACAGCTATTAAAAACTCATGACTTACACTGATTTTCAGAGCTAGATGTTTTCCTGCATAGACTCAGTACACGACTGAGATTCCACCGGGACTCTATCCTGTAAGTATTTTTCCCCTTCCAGAATCTGACAGCCCAAAGGTCTTAAAGATAATTAAAGATCTCACTGAAGATTAAGGTGCTGGACGGAGTGGGGAAACCCAGGTTCTAGTCCTCCCTTAAGCATGGAAGCTGGCTGGATGTCTTTGGGCCAATCACTCACTCTCAGCCATAGAGTGGGAAGTCAAAGCCCAATCTGCAGTGGATCAGCATGATAGATTACAATCCATAACTTTTAGTGAAGAGGCCTTCATCCTGTATTGGATTGATTCTGGCAATATGTATTATTATTTAGTTACAGATCACTATCAGTCATTAAGCTAGATCTGTAGTTCTAGGCTTGAGGAAGGACAGATGATTTTTGACAATATTTTTTCAACCCCATAAAAGTTACTTCAGAGGTTTATGATCTTCTAGATCAGCCAAAAAAAAAAGAAAAAAGGCATGCTGGGGAAAGGGGAAATTTGTAAAAATGGCCTCACTGGATCTGACAGAATTCAGTGTAAGAAATTGTAACTTACCAAGTAAGAGAGCAACTGGAATTCTGTATATAATTGTTATAATTTTGAAAATAATAATTTTAACAAAATGCACTAAAAAAGGATGTATCTTAGAAATGCTGTATTTAATTATACTATGTTATATTTACTGACATTTTATTTAGTACAGACAATGACTCATCCTGGATATTTTACCTAACTATGGATTATATTAGTCATAGTTTAGAGATGTTTGTCTGTACATTTCCTTAAGTATAATATTCTTAATATAATGGCTTTCAGAAGCAAATCCTTGGTAAGTTTGATGCCTGAACCAAATAATCATATTGAAGAATAATTAGCACAAATTAATGGCTTGCCAATCAATTATATGTAGTTGGATTTTCATAACTCTCAGTGGAAGTGAATTGAACAAATAGTAGGCTTCAGACATTGTGCTAAATCATAGTTTATTCAATCATGGTTTGAACAAGCTGTGGGGATCTGATTTACACTTAGCCATAAAGTACAGTTTACAAATCAAAATTGCAGAGTTCACCTACTGGATTAAGCCAAAATCAAATCACAGTATATGTATCAGCTACTGTATTAGTGTAGTTTCTAAAGTTGACTGAATTTTGAAACATCAGGCAGTAGTTAGTTGGGCATCAACACATGTTTATAAGCTCATTTGCATAGGCCTGCAGATGTTCCTTTCCAAAATTTGGCTGTCTCTTCTTTGTAGTCAGAAGTCACTTCCTTTTTAAATGACTGATATTTTCCAGTAAAAATATAGTACTAGAAAACATATTTAGATGCTTTGCTTCATACCAAACAGTGCAAATTATTTACATGCTTAATGGGCGCTAGAGCAGTACTTCATGCTGAGTCCTTTGACAAATCTATTTCGCGTGCTGAGTTTTAGTTACATTTCAGAGGATTAAATAACTTTAATGCTGAATTCTACTGTTTAAAAAGTGTTAGTCTTACAATGTATTATAGTGAATAAATATTATTACATTTGGAAGGCTAATTCTCATAGTTTGAGAAATACTGCATTCCCTGTACGCTATCTTTTGGAGTTTTGAAGATAGGACACATTTAAAGAAACCAACTACACTGTTGTGTGGTTTTCATTTTGTAATGACTTAAATAGAGATGTAGTAGTAGGATTTTGGATATTGCTATTAAATCATAAAATTCTGTATATCTTTCGGCTGTAGTAGCAAAATGATTATTTTCCTCTTTTTATAAAGGAATCCTTGGAGTGATAACAGAAGTTACAATAAAAATTCGACCAGTCCCTGAATACCAAAAGTACGGCTCTGTAGTATTTCCAAACTTTGAGAAAGGGGTGGCCTGCTTAAGAGAAGTAGCAAAGCAGGTAAAGTAACCTTGTCTTCAAATTGTATTTAATTGCACTTTTAAAAAGCTGCAGTATCAAGAACCTTCACTAGGTGGCATGCTGATGCTCTTCTCCACTGGCCTCTCTGAGGCTGAGGAATATGTCTAAAACAGCAGTCCAGCAATCTAATCAGTTCCAACAGAGGGCTAGATGAAATGTTAAAATACTCCATTTCTGAGAACTGATCTTTTGATACCATGAACGGCGGATATAGGATTATTTCCTGCTTCAGTATGGTTTGAATATTTCAACATTTCATTTACTGTATTTATAAAACATCTATTCTGCTTTATCATGAAAAACAATCCTAAAGTGGAAGAGAAAGTGGATGCAGACTTAGTCACTGAGCGACTACTCAAATCATCAGGTCTTGAATTAATCCTGAGTATTTTAAGTCCAATTTATATCAAGCCAATCTAGTCTTAAGTGTGATTAAATCTGGATCCAGAACATTTTCATATTGTACAAAAATGTTCAAAAATTTTATTGTTAGCATGTTATGTTTGGAGTAGAGTTATGCAACTTAAAATATAAAATGTCCTGTTCTAGGAACAACAGATTATTTTAGTGGCATCAGCTATTTTATTGTGGTTTACTTTTTTTCAAATTATTAAACTTAATATGCAACACTGAGTGAACTTGAGTGTAAGGGTAAAAACTGCAGTGCTTTCTGTTAGTGTTGTCACAGGAGTTAGTGCTTTTTGTGTTTAGCTGAACAACTCAAGTTTTTTTTTAAAAGAACAGTTGTGTATATTAAATCTTTGAATGTATTTAATTAAATTCATTTCTGACATATATAGGTTTATAATGATTGATAAATCTAAGAAAATAAGATAAAATAGGGAAAGGGATAGGCAGGCAAATTTTCAGAAGTAGAAAAGGCCTTCCACTGATTTCTGCTATTAAATTAAAATCAGTATTGCCTTTTATAAAATATAGTTACCGTAACTTTGAAATAGAGACAAGTGGGATGCATGACATAAATCCATAACATAAGGATAAAGGCAAAGCAATTTTGAAGATAAATGATCTTCCTTGGTTCAAAAAAAGCTGACAATTTGGAATGGCCTTTCATGCTTACATTCTTGAAAAAACTGGGTTATGGCTCAGATTTCCTTACATGGATACAGAGTATTAATAAAGACCAGAAAGCCAAAATAATAGTAAATGGTTCTTTATCGCAACAGTGCAATATACTGAAGGAGATAAGATAAGGTTGTCCCCTCTCTCCTTTATTTTTTATTGTCATTAGAACCATTGGCAGTCAGAGTCTGGCAAATAAAATCCCAGGAATTAAATTAGCAGTATAAGAACCTAAATTGAAATTATTTGCTGATGATGTAAATGTTGTATTTACAATTACTCAATACAAGGCTCTTTAATAATGTTAATGGAATATATATAGCAATATGGCTTTCTGTAAGGTTGCCGGATTAATTAAAAAAAAACCCAAATGCTGACAATGAAACTTGGCAGAGGAAGAAAAGTAATACTTGTATCAAGAAATGGGGTTTAACACTACTATAAAAAAGGTCAAATATTTCAGAGTCTATTTGACAAAAAAACAATAAGGATTTATTCAAAAATAATTACCTGTTATGTTACAAAAGTATAATAGCAGATATTTCTAGATGGAAAAAACTAAATCTGTCTTGGCTAGGAAGAATTGCACCCATTAAAATGAATGTTCTACCAAGACTCAATTTTCTTTTTCAAATGATTCTAATACATATAGGTATTAAGGTATTATTATTAAGAAAATAAGGTTTTAAGTGACTAATATAAACAAATAATGAATTACATATGGTCTAATAGACCAACGATTTAAATTCAAGGTTTTGCAATATTCAAGTGAGCAAGGTGGATTAGCAGCTTCAAATTTCAAACTGCATTCTTAGTTTAAAACCTAATAGCGATTCTTAGTCTTTTAAAGTATTATAATATATTCTATAATTAATGATATATTGTAATCTCCCTGACATTGTAGATCCTTTCTTTACTTACTTATATTTTACTCATTTTTTTCTTGTCTTGTCTTTTCTTTCTTTTATACTCCTTTCAAATGTCTAATAATTAAAAAAAGTGTATACCTTCTCTCCCTCTCAGTTTCTAATCATTTTCCCATATTACCAGATCTTATGCTATTCTGTCTCCCAAGCCTCAAGAACATGTTTTGGGAAGACGGAGTACAGGACATAGAACAGCCCCATTGCACAAGCATACTTTTATTTGTTTTTCTGGTTCCAGCCCAATATATGTTTGAAAATAATATGTTTTATCCTTTCTCCTCTCTACTCTTGAACTGCTCTGCATTCTCTAAACACTCAAATCTTCCATTATTCATCTTTTCATGACTTCTACGTGACTTCTAGTCTTTATTTGCTCTGGTCATCTTTTGGCTGATACATATTTTTAAAAAATTATAATGCCTGATTCTACATTAAACCTCTTTGGGTGAAATTTAACATTGTACAAGCATATTTTCTCTTACCCCCCTGCTGCTGCTATTCCAGGCCTCCTCCCTAAAACCTGCTCAAGAGAGTCCTCTAATTCTCCAGTGTAGATTTTAAAGGGTGCATGGGAAATTGAAGAGGGGAGAGCAAATTACAGAGATACACATTTTGCTGTTTGACCGAGGGAAACTGTTGGTTGAATTCATCCTTCAGACATAAACAATGTTTTTTCTTTGCTAACACATTTCTGAAATGGTTTTTGACCTGTTAAAATTAACTCGTATTTATGATGTGGCATTATATTTTAGAAAATGCTCTCCTCAAATATTTGTAGTTAACTGTGGTCCAACACATCATTAAAAATCTTTCATCGTAGTGAATCTCAGACATACCTGAATTATATGCAATTTATTAAAAGGCCGGATGTTAACAATATCTTTTGGTTCAAATTTTAAAAACATTAATCTTGGCTCTCTATGTGGAAGAATTAAGTATCTTTTTACTGAATAATGAAACTCCTTTGCAGAAGTTCAGTTTTAACAGTTGGTTGGGCAGCAATACTTGTTTCCATGCCAGTTTTTTCTCAGTAACATGCCCCTGATTTAAATTGTGTTTTTCATCAGTATTCTTTATTCATATCCCATCTTGTTTTTTGTAGCGATGTGCTCCTGCATCCATTCGCCTGATGGACAATGCACAGTTTCAGTTCGGTAGGTTTTTACTAACTTTATTTAGGAATTGTTTTGGTAAAATACTAAGTACTCTGTAACCAGACCTCCCTTAATTGTAAGTCTAGTAGTGAATTGGAAACAACATGCTGGAATTCATGGTCTAGTCTTCCTATACTTATTTCTCATGCTACAACTTTCTACTCCCTGTCCACCTGATGTCAGTCATCATAGTTCATTGTTGCGGGCAAGATTCAAAGAACTACTAAGCTCATCCCCAAAAGATAACACTGGGCATGTGTTCCTGTAGCTGGAATAGCCAGTGATATCTAGCAGATTGTTTTTATAAGTAACTTTTTTTTTGCTTTCAAAAAAATGTCAGAAATTACACACAATATGCCCAAGTGCTAGGACACATCCTAAATAGTTTTTTGGAACTTGGGTAAGTTTCCTTTGATGTTAACCTTGGCAAGTTGTAACCCAGCATTGCAGTCAGGAAAATAGGACATGATTTGTAAGTGGTTCTCAGTTACTTAATACAGTAAAGAGGTAGCCATCATTACATTTGTTCCAGCTTCTACTGTTTTTCTCAACTGTTAATAACCAATAAGTGGTTTAATGAAATTCAAATATTGCTAAAACATGCCATAAAATTAGGATTATAATATTGATTTGATAGTTAGATTGATCAGGTTAAGAAGTAAATGTGCAATCCCAACTTTAGTCAGATCAGCTTATAGGCTTTAGAAAGGAGAATACAGTAAGTACTGTTCCAGGACATAGAGCAGATGTCCTATGAGAAACATACAGTACATGCTGCTGGAAATCCTCCACTTTTAAAAAGCTCTGTTAGTATTCCACTGATAGGGTTGTAATTGTATGGTACTTGCAATATTCTAACCCTCCTTTGTATTTTGATGTACTTGAAGAATTGGCGAGGCCTATAGTGGTTGTGAAACGGAAAGAGTAAAAATGGGAAGATAGAAAAGCTCCCCTCCTCACTTCTCACCTGGCCATGAAAAATGTCAAGGCAACAAACAAACAAAAATCCCAAAAGATAAGTCCCTAAGTGTAGGAGCAGCAGTAATTATAAAAGCCAGTTCCTTTAAAAGCTTAAGGAAGTAACTGGACTTAGCCAAAGTATATCCATTCAGTCTAAAGTGAGCAAGCACAGATTGCACCAAAACCCTGTACCTTATGTTCAATGATATGTGTGATTTTTTTCAAAACACTGGGAGTATGGGGGAGAATTAAGTTCCACCTTCTCTGTGTGCTTGAGTCTTGATAAGGTTACCATACAATTATACCAGAGAATGTAAATCCAGGATATAGACCAGTGTGATATATAATTTACATACAGTGAAACCCTAGATCAGTACAAGAAGTGGAAGTTCATGCAAAAAAGCTTTGTTTCACCCTACATAAAAAGGAGCCTGAAAATTTCCTCGGTTTGAGGCACATCTGTATGCATCCAACTAATTAATGTATTGCATAAATTCCCAATATGCATCTCTGAATTCTATTAATCTTTCTGTTGTCTTACAATTTTTTCTCTTTCCTGGCAAGGATATGCTCTTAAGCCACAGGTTGCTTCTATTTTTACATCACTATTGGATGGATTGAAAAAATTTTACATCACAAAGGTATTTAATTTTAATCTTAGCAATAAATATATACAAATTGTAAATGGTTTTGTATATTTTCTTTCACAGAAAGTAGTTTGAATATGGTTGTGTATAACAATTTGATAATGAACAGTTTCGAATGGTTTGCATATGTATTTTGCAATCCAAAATGCAGTTATTTTGGATGAAAAATGTGTTGAGTATTTCATTCTATTTTAGGTTACTCAAAGTGTTTTGAATATTCTATTATAAGTGAGGTGATATGGTTGGAACTTGTCTTGTTTCTTACAATTAGGATGTTATTTTCTGGGGTGGGGTTTGGATGGAAGCAGCAGACATTTAAGGAGTACATGGCACAGTGAGGGAGCCATTGTGGATTAACTACCATTGGAGACTGGTCGAAGTGTGAGCTCCAGAGGCAGAAACTGTTGCAAGGGACCATTGAACTCAGCACTGAACTGAGCGGTAGCAATTGGTGCCTGCCTCATGATATCCTCTACAAACCCAAACGTATTATATTTTATTGTTAAGCTTTGGTTTGGTTTGGTTTGGTTTGGTTTGGTTTGGTTTGGTTTGGTTTGGTTTGGTTTTTTAGATTCAGCGTAATTGGGAATAATTCTTAAAGTGATTTTTTTTCCAGAATCTTTTCTAGTGGGGTATTATTCTGAGTGATACATAGAAGAGTTCAGAAGTATATTATAGGTTTTTATTAGTGAAATTTCACAAAGATAAAAATAGCATGACAGTGATAATACTGTCATACACTATTAATATACTAGTTCATTTCTTTAACATATTATTAAATCTAGACCATACAAAAACTTACTGCTCCATCTTCTCATTTCAGCAATATAGTGATATTTCAAATTTCAACAAATTTCAACGTCTCTTGAATCCACTCTTTGACATAACCTCTCAAAACCTTAAAATAGGATCGGGAAAAGTATCTTAAAAACCTAACACATCATTTATCAGTAAAAAAAAAAAAAATGAAACATTCTACACTGTCTTTTCCTAAATTGGTTCTGGAGCTGTTTACAGTATAGCATTATATTGACAGAAATTTATCATAGAAGTCCATTGCTGGTATCATTCAAATATAGTATTAAATCTTGGTTTGGGACAACATAAACGAGCCTTTCACGTGTGGAAAAATAACTCTTTGCATTAGAAACAATTTTGTAACCTGTAAAACCACATTATTACCCTTGGAGAAAATCCAATAATGAGCATACAGTAGCTCCCTCCCCTCCAAGTACTTGGACCTGAGGTTAGCATCCTCTTTACCACTGAAACCCAAAGTGGGGGAAGGAGGTGTGTTACAACATGAGACAGTGATTGATCCCTCTTGTTCTGCGTTTCCACACTGCTAGAAAAGAAGCATCAGCATATGCTGTCTCTGTGCTATTTTCTCCAGCTGCCAGGCCTCTTGGCCTGCTGCTGTGGCCAGTAAGATCTGCAAACGGCAGAAAGGTTTTCTTTCTTAATTGTCCCTATGCTGTGAAGTATCTGATTGCACATTTTTCCTTTTTAAAAGACTAAAATCACGTTCTTTCTGGATTTTACTTGAAGGAATATGGTATTTGTTGGTATTTGGTAGTTGAAATTATACTTTAATTGTGCTGAAAAACTTCAAAAACTGAAAGTGAATTACACTCTCAACTTCATCATTCTTTTTTAAAAAGTCATGTCATGCTTCTTACATCCCTACTTTTCATTCACTTTAGGAATTGCTCTTCTTACCAAAAGTAATATGAAAATGAATGTAGTCCCAGCAATTTGGAAATCTTGTTGTCATGTTACGATAATACAGTGCAGGTTCTTTCTTTCCACAGTTCAAAGGATTTGATCCCAATGTATTATGTGTTGCTACGTTGGTTTTTGAGGGTAGCAGAGAGAAAGTTCTCCAGCACGAAAAGCAAGTTTATGATATTGCTGCAAAATTTGGGTATGATTTTTAAAGCTGTATTACTGATACTTTACCATTTATTATCCTAAAACATTTGCAGAGTTGAGTAGAAATGGCCGTTGTGAAAACCATTGGGTGTCATGCATTTTTCAATAATAGATAACTAATTGGGAAAGTGAGAACAATATTCCAGACATGAATGGTAAAAGCATAATTACTGAATATGTGGAAGTGCAGTTAAAAAGACACTCATAGCAATTTTAGTTTGCCTAGCCATGCATTTTGGCAAGGCCTTAACTATTACAAGAAAATGTAAATGTTTATCTCATTCAGCTGAAGTCATGTCTATTTATAGTAGTTTTCTTTTTTTCCAATTTTTAAAAGCAACTTCTGATACTAAATAAGTCAATATAGTGAAGGAGAATAATGTTTAGAGATTAAGGTATAATAACGTCCATTATTGACTTACAGCTGTAATGAACAAGTCTGTTTTAAAAAGGAAATTGTCTGTCTTTAATCAACAGACCTTGATTAATTATATATATCCCACCTCCTGTCACCTATTGCTCTGTGCTGTTACAAGGAAACAGAAAACATTTCGCTTTTATAAGCTGAGTAATGGTAGGGTAATTTGTGTCCATCTGGTTTGATTGATTATGGGTCTGATAATGAAACTATGGTGAAGATATTTATCCAGATCAGAACAACTTTATTTTCCATTTAAGAAAAAAAAAAAAATTAACATCATTCCTACTGCTAAGCACATCATTTGTTAACTTTAGTTGTTTTACAGGTTTTGCTAACAACATTCTGTTTTTCAATGCTCTCCTATAAAAGGATTGTTTCAAAAAACCAGAAAATTCAGATTTAAAGGAGAAATAAGGTGCCTTTTGAAGTATAGAAATTATATGCATATTAATAATTTCATTATTAATTTGCAATGAAAACACGGGCTATCCTACCAAATTCTTGGGCCATATCCTATCTACATCTCTGTTCCATTATGCTTTTGGCCTGAAAGCTACAAAATGAGGAGTAAGATAAAACTTCTACTAGTTTTTGCAGATACTGATTCTGTAACATTTGTACAGAAGCCTTGTATGTGTTTCTCTTGTACATGGTTCTTTGCACACTCTGTTCTTTGTCACCATGCCAGAGGAAGAAGGAAGAAAGTGTGGCCAGCTATTAAAAGACTATATTATACTCCCCACCAGGCAGCTGTTACTCATGTCTGGCTATCACTATGTCAAGCTGCAAGCTCAGTGGGCTTTCAGGTTCCTGCTTCTTTGAAGTGCCAGTAACGGCAAAAAGAAGATAGCTCCATGGCAGCGCTGTTTCCAAGCTCATTTAAACTGTCTTTCTTGCTGGGGGGGGGGGCGTGTCGGTCATGCCGCATGAAAGCAAGTAAGTTGCTAGCAACCTGCTCCCGTGACTCTTCCATAGAACAGTGCTCATTAGCACCAGGGAGTTGAGTCAAAGTAGTGTCCTTTTTTAAAACAAAAAACAAAAAAAATCTACTCTGAGGAATTTGACTAACAATCATAAACTTAGTGTGGAAAATTGAGAGAATGCAGCAGCAGTCAGGAGCACGGCACTTGCAAGTACCATAATATCCACGAGATAAATCTACCTAGATAAATATTTTATTTGCCCAAATCTTACAGTATTTCAATACCCAAGAGTGGGCTTGTCTGTATGTGGACATCCCACACCATCCTTTGAGGGCTAGAAAAGTTTGCTTTATTGCATACATACCCTGCCTTTCCTCTCCATAGTTTAAGGTGGCATATGGGGGAGTGGGGTAGACACACATGTTATCCTCACAAAAAACGAGTAGACTGGGCTGACAGAGAGTGGCCGGTCCAACATTTTTGTGGTCTGGTGCAGACTTTAACTCAGGTTTCCCTGGTCCAAGTTCACCACTGTGATGTGCTGACAATCTTTTAAAATAAATGTTCTCAATACCCTACATAATCTTTTTTGGTGTCGTATTGCAGAATCTAAACAATGCAATACTTCAAGATTCCCATATCAACATATGGTAATGATGGATTTTGTGTCACTTGAAAATCCTACATGAACATAGAATAAGTTCAGTTCTTTTGTTGACTATTATATCTGGAATTGAACTTATTCTATATAAATTCTAACAATTAAAGTACTCTTATTAAATCCTCAGAAGAGCTAGTTTTGACATCTTAGGAAGAGCTAGAATGTATAATATTTTAATATTTTGTGGTTCTTTTATAACTTTTAATCATGTATTTATGATTTTAATTTGATGTAAGCCGCCCA